CCGGCTCCAAACATGGCAATAATGACCAGGGCCCACTTGCACAAAGCGATCTTAGCGCTAAGATGATCGTAACTCCGATACTTTAACATAGGCTTACAATAGTCTTAGCGCTAAGATCGCTTTGTGCAAGTGGACCCTGTTCCGTACACAGTACTAATGACCCGTTAACGACGTGTTGGCACTGGTCGTCGCCATCACATCATCCCTCATTTTTAGAGGACGGATCCAAACTTGTAAGGATTCCATGGCTCCAAACTTGTAAGGATCACGACGGCTAAAAACTTGATAACTGGAAACCGACTCCGGACACGGTAGAAATTAAATATTGTAGTCTAGGTTGTAATGGTCAGCATCAAACAAGGTAGGAGGTGGTGACCTGGGTGCCGTTGTACAAAACAACCCTAGCGCTACATAAGTCTATGTTAAGGTATGGGAGTTACGATCACCTTAGCGCTAAGATCGCTTTGTACAACGGCACCCTGGTCGTAAATGCTGGTTAAGTTTCACAGCCATCAACTTTTCGCCAACACCTGGTGTCTTTACTGTTTAATGGTGATTCATAAACACATGCTTATGATATGGTCGGAATCGTTCAATGGACTCTGCTTTGAGCAGAAATGTGGGTTTGGTCGCTTTTGTTTAAATGAAAAACACGGTACTGGTAGCAGCACCAAACACCAGGTACTAGATGCTGGATCCAGGAGTTCAATTTGAGACTGGCTCCATGCTTTGAAGTGGGAGCTGGTTCCATATAAAGTATTCACGACCAGCTCCATGCCCCGTTAAAGCTACCGTCTTCACAGGAGAGTCGGTTTCCTGTGTCAATGTGACAAGGCCCACGATGAGGTATTGCTGATGCAGTCCTCCACCAGGTAAAAAGGTCGATAGTTTTACTGCAACTATGGTGCATACTCCTGGCCCCAAATACATCACCGCTGAGAAGCAACCATATGATTCACTGCCGGGCTTGGCTCCCAGGGGGGAGGGTATGAGCAAGCGTGAGCGTGCGTCGAACCCACTACAGCACTTGTCGGGTGTACCCACAGACCATGGAGACATCCAGAGGACACAAGGCAGGGCAGGGAGCCTGGGGGAAATCTACAACATAATGCCAGCAACCCACACAATAGCCAATATAGCCCTGTACACGTAACGAGTAGATCGTGAAAAGATTACATAATGCAATCTAGAAATACATGCAGATGTTTATTTGCACACCTTCATGGAGAGAGTAGTGTGACGGACAATCAGAAGGGAGGGAAAGGGAGGGGAAGGTAGACAGGAGGGGAAAGGGAGGGGGACGGGTGTGGTGTTGAAAGGGGGGGAGGGGGGGGTGCAGGTGTGTTTCAGTCGAAACGTGTTCTTTCTTTCAAAAATAAATTGCCTTTCCAACCAAAGAAATTACCTGAAGTACATGTTTGATTATGGCTAAAAAAGAAAAATAGGAAATGCCAATTCGATGGTGTTATTTGATACTGTTTCATGGTTGCGTTTTGGAACTCAAGTTAGTTGCGTATCGGTGACAGTTTACAGCCAAGTAACTTGTTGATAAAGTTTTTTCATTTTATAATTCAATTTCCAAGTGAATATTTTCCCCTGCCCGGTAGACCCAGCTGTAATCAGACTGCCATACTTCTGGATCCCATACTGTTTCACATCCTCTTAGCTTATTTATAATGAACACTTTATGAATGACCTCAAATATGATGTTGTCCATACAGATAAGCAAATACTTGCTATGCTCTACCCCGTAGCCATAATTCTCTTATATCTATGAATTATCACAAAATTATCAACATTTTTAACACGAAAGAAATATTTATGATCTCTGGTCCCAGTGGAAGCCATAATGTACTTTGTAGATCGTGTTTCATCTGACTGGAATATATCTTTACACCTTGCGGATAGCTCCACACTGTGTCCACGTCTTAAGTGAATACATGCTCGTACTGTGTCTCAGATTAACTCGTGTAAGTTGTACCTATCATCTTTTTGCAAGTAATATGTGGAGGTAAATACTTTAAATCTGTTATCTGCAATGTTGGAGATCCAGGTTATATATTAAGTATTTTCTTACAGAAGTAACGATGTGTACCTACCTGGTACAAGTTAAATAAGGAATAGCACTGGACATTATTTCGTTCATGATGAGTTAAATTTGAAAATGTTCTCTTCATGTCTACCATAAAACGTTTTGAAAGTTTGACTGAGGTCCTGAATGTTGTAGCCCTCATCAAACAACTGTCGAGCAAGAGTCGCATGACGCTGTTTGAAATCTGTCGTAGGAAGAACATGTATTCAAAAGTTGAGAAAGGTAGACACCAAAGTCTGAACTGCTGAAATATTGCTCGACATGAAGGGAAAGTTGACTTTTGGAACGTTGAAGTCATCACCATTATCATACAGTCTTGTGGATATCCTTTTGTCCCACAGAATCTTTATGCAGAGATCTAAAATATGAAACAGATGAGTCACTTTGACCGGTCTCTTTAATTTATAGCTCTGGGCCCATTTGCACAAAGCCACCTTAGCGTTAAGATTATCTTAACCCAATGTTAAAGTATTGGAGTTACGATCATCTTAGCGCTAAGATCGTTTTGTGCAAGTGGCCCCGGGACGGGTATTCGCAGTTAACCATTATTGGGGGATAATGATACCTGAAGCTTAAGTAAATTCTTTTCGCCAATTTTCCTTGTTTTGATTTTGCCAATCCGAGCGGAAATTCTGATTCATATGCATAGAGGAACAGATCAGCAATAATTTTGAAAAATCAAATGTTTTGACATGATTGAACTTGATTCTTTTCCGGGATTGCTAAATATTCCAGCAAATCATTTGTGGTTTTAAGAATCCACATTGTATTAATTCCACTTGTCTCAAATACTTTCTTGATTGTATTAATTTTTGCAACAGGGATTTGGTGGTACACGTGCTGAACCCAGCAGTATATCTCTCTTTGTACGGATTTGTATGTCCTATCCAGTCCTAACGAAGAATGAACATGTCTTCAGGTACTAGAGTCAAGTCAAAAGTGATAGTACTGATGCATGGTTCTCGAAGATGTTTTCTGGCCTCATATGTGACATAATGTAAAATGTCCCTCATACCAAGTTCTTTGATCAAGCAAGTATTGTAGGGTGAGGTGAGGTGAAATGGGGTTTAACGTCGCGTCCAAGATTATTGCACTTACATAGCGACGTGCATGTACGTGTGTGTCGCTGCTTGTACTAGTCCGGACTGATGCCGATTTATAGTGCTAGCTCACTGGGATACCATGCCGCAGTTTAACATGAATACCCCACTCAGACACAGTATGCTGACTCTGAGCCGACCAGTACTTGTTTTAGCCCCTTAAAGCCGAGCACCAGACAGAGTAACAACAAGTACCATCTTTTAACGTCTTTTGGTATGACGCGGACTGGGATCGAACCCCGAGCCTTCCGCTCTCCGGGCGGACGCCCTACCACTAGGGTGGCCCAGTCGTCTAAGGCGCCGCGATTCGCTGTGCAGAGTTGCGTCCCCTGGGCACGCCAGAAACCTATGATTGTGGGTTCCAATCCCGGTTCGCCCCGATTATGTTTCTAGGTTTGTCAGCACCATACCCGTGCTCGTGTGTACACGTCTGACACCTGCATCACTTCGGGCTTTCCTCCCACATTAAGCTGACACGCCGTGATATAACTGGAATACTGTTAAAAGCGACGTAAAACCCAACTCACTCACTCACTATAGTCGGAATGAGTAGATTTTTCTTTCCACAGATATGTCATATGATTATGGAAAGCATGGCTTTTGTCGTTTTTATTGTCTCTATCCGCTTACATGTTACGATGTTCACCTACACATGTGTTACACTGTCAGCTTTCAGGACGTCTACCTATATACCTTAATGTGTCTACCTATATATGGTTTGGGACCCGTGAAGATCCGGGGTAGAATAGGTCTTCAGCAACCCATGCTTGCAGTAAAAGGCGGCTATGCTTGTACGAGGCGACTAACGGGATCGGGTGGTCAGGTTCGCGGACTTGGTTGATGCATGTCATCGTATCCTAGTCGCTTATATCGATGCTCATGACGCCAGTCACTGGATTGTCTGATCCAGACACGATTATTTATAGACAGCCGTCATATAGCTGTAATATTGCTGAGTGCGGCGTTACAAAACAAACAAACAAACAGATGGTTTGGCGTATACCTACATACGTTAAGGTGTCTACCTGTTTACGATACGGTGTGTGACACTATCAATCAACATGTTCCGTAAATAGTACCTACACATATCACAGGGTCGACCACGTAAGATAAGCAGTCTACCCTCAAAGCATACGGCGTCTACTTTCACATGTTAAGGTGTCTCCCATACATTACGGCCTGTACTTACAGGTCTAGACTAAAATCTAGTCTCTGAAATGAACATATCGTACATAAAAAAAACAGTTGTTCAGTTATCTTAATAAAAATATAATAAAAAGGAGCCCAGTGACTCTCTTCATTTTCAGATACTGCAGTGATCTAGACTTGCCAAACATTATAGACTTGCATGGGCTGTATTTGATATATATGTGTATCAGGGTCTGTAAAACAGACTATTACATGTCATGCTGTACGGTAGTTACAAATATTAAGGTATATGCCTACATTAAATAATGTATCTGGCTGTATGTGTTACGATATCTACTAAGTCTTACATATCATACGTACAAAGAGGTGCCACTGTTCTGAACTGCACGATTCCTCGACTGGGGTTTGTAAATAAACTTACGTGCATAGATGTCCGGCCTCGCTTCTGCCTTAGGTCCATGCTGAAGTAAACATGTTACAAACGTCGTAGCGCTAAGATCCCTTTCTGGAAGGAGGTCTTGGTTTGAAGTGTGGTCTTATGTATGTGTATATGCACATACATAGATCATTAGGTATGCTGTCTCAGATGTCTGTCGACTTCAAGCCTCGACAACCACGTTGTATTACCATCTGGTGACAATTCACAACAAAACTCAACACAGATGTATAAAACGAGCATTTATATACAAAACATTGTGATGCATTCACAGTGATATCTTATGTTTAACCCGATGTATGTCCGTGACCTCCCTGTGTGTTACAGTGGCCACATTGATGGCGTCCGCGGCCAGTGCAGTGTTCTGTTTGATTTACAGGAACATGTCACGTAGTCTTTGCAGGGACGCGCTGCGAGTTAGTGGTCTCTGACGCACCAATACAGCGTCGAAATACTATAACTAATACAACTGTTAACATAGGATAGATATCGTTGAGGTCAAACATCCCCTTCCAAGTCCCATCAGTACCCATCATTATCCATCATTAATCATCATTAACCATTTTTTCCCACCCACCCCACCAACCCCACACACTCTACCGACAACCAGGTATGCGTCAGGCTTGACGTGAAGTGGAAGCACGCATCACTTGCCCTTGGATGAGGGATGCGTGAATCTCCCACCTTAACTCCATCCACCTCGTATCTTTAGCTGTATCTGAACAAAGTGTTTTGTTATCGTTTGGGAAGTGTGTAAGCTAGTATTGTCTACGTTTGGCTGTTCCTTAGGTCATAGTGATTGGCAGCTAGATATAATAGTATGAAAGGACAACAGTTAGTCTATAGTGAAGCTACTCAAGCCGCAACAGTGGGACCACTTCAGCTGACATATATATTGCTATGGAATACGGAACTGTACATTTTCCACACTCTGTATAAAGCTGGAGCACATCCTACGTACATGTCAACCATTGTAGTGAACAGATTAACTGGCATCAACTGACGTCGTGAGTAGATTATATAAAGCAGATCAGGATATAGCAGCAGTACTACCCAGTAGATGGATGTGTAGCAAGTCACGCCCAGACAGCGGTACTCACCAGTAGGATACGGAGCAAGTCATGCCTAGACAGCGATACTGACCAGTAGACGGAGATGGAACAAGTCACGCCTAGACAGCTGTCCAACCCAGTAGGGCATGGAGCAAGTCACGCCTAGACAGCGGGCCAACCCAGTAGGACATGGAGCAAGTCACGCCTAGACAGCGGGCCAACCCAGTAGGACATGGAGCAAGTCACGCCTAGACAGCGGGCCAACCCAGTAGGACATGGAGCAAGTCACGCCTAGACAGCGGGCCAACCCAGTAGGACATGGAGCAAGTCACGCCTAGACAGCGGGCCAACCCAGTAGGACCTGGAGCAAGTCACGCCTAGACAGCGGGCCAACCCAGTAGGACATGGAGCAAGTCACGCCTAGACAGCGGGCCAACCCAGTAGGACATGGAGCAAGTCACGCCTAGACAGCGGTCCAACCCAGTAGGACCTGGAGCAAGTCACGCCTAGACAGCGGGCCAACCCAGTAGGACATGGAGCAAGTCACGCCTAGACAGCGGTCCAAACAGTAGGATATAGAGCAAGTCACGCCTAGACAGCGGTCCAACCCAATAGGGCATGGAGCAAGTCACGCCTAGACAGTGGTCCAACTCAGTAGGACATGGAGCATGTCACGCTTAGACAGCGGTCCAACCCAGTAGGACATGGCGCAAGTCTCGCCTAGACAGCGTACTACCCAGTAGACGGACAAGCCAAGCCCACAGTGTTCTGAATACTGTCCATTATGTTAAGACGTGATGGTGGCTTGATTGCACGTCAACGCAAGAAGATACAACTGTTACAATGGGTAGCACTGCATAACCGACGGGGGGGGGGGGGGGGTAGAGAGAATGGGCACAGTTGACGCACTACTTCCCTTACACCTTATTCGGATTAGTTGGATGTGTATTTCTGAACATTTTGCAGCGGAAGCTATCTAATCCGTCAAAACATATATTTTACATATACTTTTGAACAAGAACAATGAAGTTAAAGAACATGTAATAGCGATAGTCAATGTGCCACGTCTCTGTTTGGGAGAGACAGGGAGCAATCAGTCAGTGTTATGTTTAAAGTCAATATGTGATAGTTCCATGTTTCCCTAAAGGTATCACAGCTAACGTTGGCCAGACATTCTCTATAGCAAAACAGCTTGTGAGTGTGCCAGCAGCGAAGTACAAAAATAAATTGAATACTGTATTTCTACAGTAAATCTTATCCCTACATCAAACAGATACATCAGCGAGTACATGTATCTACAGCTACGAACTGGCCTACTGCGCAGAGCGCACGTCTAGTGATAAGAGACGGCGGAATGACTGCCCACAATCTTGGACATTGCTATACAAGGGACACTGGTCAAGGGACACTGATTGAAAGATAAACAGTAATCATTCGATGTGCATTGAGAAGGGTAGATTATCTGAGGCATACATTATCAGTTTGTATAGTTAAATAATTCTCATTTAAAATGAGTTTTACTAGTCCTAAGGAACGGGTAGTGATTTAAATGTTTCGTCACCATGATAACAGTCGCTGACATGACAGCCATGATAGTCATGCATACCTGTGGGATGAACGGTAAATTCAGGTCTCCTTCCTATTCCCCATACAGCGCTAGTCTAGCGCAACCACTAGACGTCTAGGTACAGCAAGACAAACGGGCGAGTACTCACAACACAATTTCAACAGTAAACAACGTGGAACAGGTCAAAGTTCACGTGATGTTGCAATGTGCAGCTCTAGATCAGAAACGTTACTCAGCAGTGAGGCGGTCGATGACGTTCATGCAGACCTGACAGCGTAGATGGTTATGATGAGGATGCTGATGACGATGGGCTGTGATCATATATGATGCGCAAACAACACGCGCTGTCCGACAGCGAGTATCTTCAGCACACCGCTGTTCCTTCAAACATTTAAAAATTGTATAGAATCAACGTGACTGTATTTTGGGGACAAGTCTCTCAGCGAATAACGAGTTTCTTTCCGGCAATAACCTTGCCGTCTTTCTGGTTCAATACACGTATTGTACTGCTCCATCGAAACACAAAACGTTGTATCCGTGTTGCTATTTCATCGGGCACACTATATGTTTATGTAAATCTTAAACCTTCGAACTATTGGAAGTAATCCATGTGACAATCACAATCTTTTGTTACCAAATAAAGGCTTCAGTGTGAATAGCAACCCAATGAAGCGTCATCATGAGATTGTTTTTTTTGTTTTTTTTGTGTATGTGCGCTCGTGCGTGCGTGCATGCATGTGTATCTTTTTCAGGTGTGTGTGTTTTCGATTGAATGTGTGTCCGTGCTTGTGTGACAGTGTGACGGCGTTTGTGTGAGTTTCAGGTTGTGAGAGTTAGACTTTGGTGTGTCAGTGGGTATTATTTGTCCACCCTGTTGACATGGCTGAGCGTGATGATGGGGAGAAGGACGCACATGGATACAACTATTGTAGTTAAGTAGATTATGAAAAATATTCTGTCGAAGACCAGCCCCACTGCCTTCCATTCCTTGCCTATTTTGTCCTTGCGGTCTTTGTCAGCGAGCCGATCCCGGTAGCTGCGCAGGAACTCCATCACTTCAGACAGGTGATAGTCTATTAGGGACAGTTGTTGCACTGACTCGTCGTCATTCGAGCACTGTCGTGAATGTAAGAGTAAGTCAGTAGGGACGCTAGGCTCCTTCGAGCCCCAGTTTGTGCTGTCACCGTTCACACCCACAAACGGATGAGTGTCCGCCGACTGGAAGCGCCGGGCTTTGGCCGCGTCCAAATACGGCTGCACTAAATTGTCCATGCATAGAATTCTCCCGAAGAAACTAAAGATAACCTGCAAAGAGAAAGATAGCAGCGGAATTAGATATGTTGTAGGGTCAATTTTGAACTTCACATAATCGCATTACAGTAGGATAAATGATTTTAATTGTGAAATCAATAAGTACTTGGACAGAGTAATGTCTAAATAACACACACTAACTTCCCCAATATAAAACGTCAACGTCTGAGAAAAATCAGTCTCGAATATCTGCTGAAACAGATTCCGTTGGGCATAAAAGGTACAATAGCGGTGAGAAGTATATAAATGGATTACTGCATATAGGTGATGACACCAGGTGTTCGCTAGAAGGGTAAGCATGTCCTGCCCTACAAGGTGGAACGAGCCACCCGCACATTTCATAGAAAAAACAAACCATGCAAGGATTTCTGGTAGTAATCAAAGTTAACTGATTGAAAATTACAATGATTGTATACATTTTCACGTGAATCGAGTTTGACTGGCACTAATAATGCTAGTTCTATCTACGGCGACTGTTTATATGAATAGAAATGCTATCTATGTACAATTTATAGGATACATGAATATCGTGTAACTTATCTGGTTGTCTTTGTGACAGAGATCCGAAGAATTATCGACTAGATACTGACTTGAGGCCAAAAGGCGGACCACTCTATTTAGTTGCATTCCCGGAGACTAATCTTAGAGTATGTGGTTGTATACTTGTGTACAACTATCTTTCTGTATACTAGTGGACACATTAATCTGGTTGCATACCAAACTACATATCTATCTGATTACATACAAGAGGACATATTTATCTGGTTTAAAGCTAGAGGACATATTTATCAGCAATTACAAAAGACATTCTATAGATATGCATGCAGCACATTAAATGTATGAAATACCTAGGAATATACAGAAATATCCAGGAAATTACTCAGGAATATACAAAAACAAACAGGAATAAACAGAAATATCTATGGATATACAGAAATAACCAAGAATAAACAGAGATATACAAAAATACACAGGAATATACAGACATATCCATGAATATACACAAATAACCCAAAATAAACAGAAATATCTATGAATATACAGAAATGACCAAGAATAAACTGTACCCAGGAATTAATGTAAATCGATTACTTACACCCAGGAATATACACCGATTACTTACCGTTCTAAGAATGTCAGGCACCTGCCTGCGAGGACCGTAGAACGCCATGTTGACCACGAAGGCGTTAAGGAACGATGATAGAGTGATGAGGATCATGTTTAGACAGTAGTAAGTACCTGTGTACAAATAAAATTAACAGTTATTATACGTATAAGGCCAATTAAACACATGTTCACATTTTCCATCAAGTAATGGCGGGAGCTTTCAGCCTAGCTTGGAAACGAAGGGAAGGTATGTAGTACCGATAAATTCAAGATGGACTAACGTGTGGTCAGAACAGATCTTGTGGTAAACAGACAACCCACACAGATATATCAGGGTATATACCCGTGTATTTCAGGCATAGCGAGGTTCAGACACATCGCATGTTGTGTACGTGAGTTACTTATGCCCGTTCCAATGATGAGGTGAGCTACATGAAGGTGTAGTCCGTTTAACTAGGATGGCTGTGTTGTCAATGGAATTAGTTGATTTGGTGATCAGGTGAGCTACAAAGCAGCGTCAATCCGGTAAGGCCGATGGCTTTGTGGTCTTTGGAATTAGTTGATCTGTTGATCAGGTGAGCTACAAAGCAGCGTCAATCTGGTACGGGTGATGGCTCTGTGGTCTTTTGAATTAGTTGATCTGTTGCTCAGGTGAGCTTCAAAGCAGCGTCAATCTGGAAAGGACGAGCTACGGAAATGGTGTCTGTGGTCTGGACTAAGTACATACTTATGGCGGGTCTGAGATCTACTTCAGAGACATGGTGGCAGGTGCCAAATCCAGCAGAACTAGTGGGTTCGTTTTCCATAAATTTCCAACGCGAATCGTTTAGCCTTCTTCAGCAATATATATGCCAATGGAACGATATTTTCAATGAAAGACGTATGTGACATTGCTCCTCTTTATTACTAAAGGGATGATTGTAATACTGCCGACACCGCGATAATGTTCCACGTTGTGTCATAGAGGACAACCTAATATTCCTCTTGGGGGGTAATCGGTGTCCACACATAGCGCGCAACGACAAACAATGACACATTATCCTATTACACTGAATTTGACCTGAAGAAATATAGAAGCAAGGCAGTGAAGCTCACCTTTCTAAGACGTAAATATTCGACAGGTGTGAAAACAAAACACCCCTTCTATGTTCAAATTAATGTCGAAGAGTCCAATCTGTTATTTATAGTTCCAGAGATGTTAGGAAGAATATAACTTACAGCAAAAAGGTTCATGGATGACATAATCCTTTACCACAGAAAAGAAATCATCGGCCTTGTTTCTTTGGTTTAACGTTTCATACAGGTTATCCCTGTCTTGATGTAGAACCCGACTAGAATATTACTCTTGTTAGTATCCCACACTTCAGAAGGTGAGGTGAGGTGAAATGGGGTTTAACGTCGCGTCCAAGATTATTGCACTTATATTGCGACGTGCGTGCACGTGTATGTGTGTTTGAGAGGCTGCTTGTACTAGTCCGGACTGATGCCGATTTATAGTGCTAGCACACTGAGATACCATGCCGCAGTTTTACATGAATACCCCACTCAGACACAGTATACTGACTCCGAGCCGACCAGTCCTTGTTTTAGCCCCTTAATGCCGAGCGCCAGACAGGGTAACAACAAGTACCATCTTTTAACGTCTTTTGGTATGACGCGGCTGGGGATCGAACCCCGGACCTTCCGCTCTCCGGGCGGACGCTCTACCATTAGACAACGGCGGTCCACACTTCAGAAACAAAGACAGTGTAACAAAAAGACAGAAACAACAAACAGTGAGTTGAAGAAACCTGTAAGTTCAGAATTCTCAGATTAAAAAAGATGTCTGCGTATTTAATGACCATGTTATCACGCGTCTGTGTATCTGTAGGGTGTACACAACGAGCACGTGACAGGATGGATGGGAGTGCATGTGCCCAGACCATGTTGTGAAAACAAATCATGTTATGAAAATTTCATAACACGATTTTAAAGTTTGTACATATCTTTCGTCATTCGTCATGAGAACATGTTATCAGATGTGCGTGCATCTGAAGGCATGTGCATTAGGATTATGTAACACTTAGGATGGATGTGTGTCTGTGTAATAAGACCATGTTGTATGATGGATGTGTGTCTGTGTATGAAGATCATGCTATAAGATGAGATTTGTGTTATAAGATAGATGTATGGTATCCATTTAGTCCATGTTATACGATGGGTGTATGCATGACCTTTAAGTCCATGTTTTAAGATGGATGTGTGTCTGTATACTAAGTGCATGTTTTAAGATGTACGTGTCCGTGCATTAACACCATGTTATACGATCGATGTATGTCCTTGAGTTGATAATAATTCAACAATTCCTGAATGGATGTAGGATAATGTACTTGTACTTGTGTTTATGTACCTTAATTTATAGCGCCAGGCAGGGCAACAACAATATATATATATATATATATATATATATATATATATATATATATATATATATATATCCCTCATTTGAACCTTAGGTCAACTTGTTATTGCCTTAGAAACACGCAATTGAACATAACTAACTATATGAACCGTAAAAGGCACCAGTTTGGCACTATGCTTCGCAAATAAATGAGTTATGCGTTATGCTCCAGAAAGTATCCCTACCCTCGTCTGAAGTTTTACTTTTTGCCTGAGAAACATGAACATTCAAAACCCCAAATCATAAACAGGTTCCAGTTCAATGCATACCTGGAGTATTGCATATATATATATATATATATATATATATATATATATATATATATATATATATATATATATATATATATATAATGATGATCTGAATACACGTACAAATCAAATTACTTATAAATGTTTTTAATCACACCTTGTAATTAGATTTCAGATATATCCAACGCCGCTGAGCAGGGTATGATTTGAACGGTTTGAACAGCTAATATTGATAACCACGTTGTAATGTCCGCAGTGACATGCAGCTAATGATGTTTCACTCAAGCTTAGATTTGCTATTGAACCTGTAATGAACTCTTATTATACCTTGCAATTCAGCCGCAATTATGTTCTGATTATCTGAAAATATTATCTGGTTTCTGTAGCTCACCTGAATATTTGTTTTATTTTTACACCGTAACAGATTCAGATATTGAAATACCGGTTATATAATCGTAATAAAAACGATTAACTTCGACACAAAGAAAACTCAGTGATACAGGACTAAATGCCTGAATATTGCCCTATATGACATTTTCCAATATTGATTCCGCAACTGCCTTGTTAAAATCAGACCTGAATCCCAGCACTTTCCCGGAAACTATTGATGGGATCATGTGCACGTTTTTCAGTGTTGTTAGTGCAGTAGCATAAGATATATAGGATCATAGAAAATTCAATATATACTTCCGACAGAAAATAAGGGAACCAATACTTTGAATGTATCCATCGTTGAGGTGTACACTTACATTATCGTGGCGTTGCATCTGAACGCAGCATCTAATCTGAATGAATTTTCACATCATGCATGACCAGCACGTGATGCACGTGAACACAGAAGCCAACATGTGTGCGCCAATAGGGAAGTCACAATCATTAATGCATATATAAGCTCACGCTTAAAAATGCCTCCTAGACAGTATCTCAATGAAGAGACAGAATTGTGACTTTTGGATACGATAAGTGGTGGTAAATATTTCAAGTTGCCCGAATGTTCGGCAAATCAAAAGTGTAATTTCTCGACTGTGGGACAAGTGCCGTCACACGGGTGGGATTGCATGAGACCTGCACCTGGCAGGCCTAAAAAACGACACCAAGACAAAATCGTCTCATTACATTAATTGTATTGTGCAATAGTTTCAAAGATAATTAAACCTTCCACGCATGCTATCGAGAATCATGCTTCAGTTGTCTTGAATCGCTGTGATATGCCATATTTGGCCGACACGCCTGAGTGACATTATTTTAGTATAGGGCAAGAAGCATGGTTTGCCCGTAGAGCCATGCCACACGTGAACACATCATGGCATAGCCTAGTCGAATACATTATGTTGACGCACCACATCATGACGTTGACAGACAGCACACCATGGCTTCAACAGACAACACACCATGACGTTGACACAGAACAACGCGACGTTGACAATCAGCTCACCAACACGCGGACAGATAGCACATCATGACATTAACAATTGAAAAACTGCACACCATTGCACACAGCGTCGACAAACGCAGGTTTTGAAACCATTAAATTAAATTCCCGCGACATTATGATATGTGCACTTCCTCTTCCAAAGAGGTCAATGTTTACAACCTTAAACCCCGTCCATCGTCTAAACACTCTCGCACTTTTATCAGCATTGTCAGTACATATCCTCGCTGAAGGATACAGTCAATTATCTAGCCCCAGGGCACTCTAGATATTGTTTACAAAACAGGAATCACTCGGCAAGATTGCGTAGCATGTTGCTTTGTAACTGCTTATAGTTCTGAGCCTAGCCTTGCGCCAAGGCAGTACTGAAAGAAACTTCCATGGATGTGTAGTAATTCTATCTTCCCAATAGGCAAGTCTAGATATGTGGACAGTACAATGACTCCAGTCATTTATAGGGACAACTTGTTCTCATAATAAATGGGGCCGAGACGTTAACCTGGAGAAGTCATGTATTGTTGTTTTCAGAAATGGCGGATACTTGATAAATACAGAAAAATGGACTTATGATGGTAAACAGTAGAAAGTAGCATCCGTCCCACTATAAATATCTAGGTGTTGTCTTCACATCCAGATTGATTTGGTCAAAGCGTGTGCAACATTTGCACTACAATCCAGAAAGGCATTGTTTCCTATTATGACCTTATTAAAGGATTATCCAAACATTTCTCTAAAGGTAGCATCTACAATATTTGACAGTAAAACTGCTTCCATTTTTTATATGGTTCGGAAATTTGGGGTTATACTTCTCTTGCAAATATTGAAAAAAAATCAGTGTGTTTACTTTAAACGATATTTATATGTTAATAAAAAGGTATCAACCAATGCTGTACTGGGCGAAGTAGGTAGAACCTACTTATGTGTTAATTATTTTAGTCGTTTTATGAAGTATTGGTGCAGGCTGTTGTATATGGATTAGTTGTCGATACCAAAACAAAAAGCATGTTATGACACGTTGAAATCACAGGATGAAAAGGCAGCCACAACTGGGTAACGCATGTTCGTTTGCTGCTATTAGAAACCGAATTAACGTATGTTTGGATCGCACAGGAGTGTGGCAGCATATCAAATTTTAGATGTAAAGACATAGAGATTCAAAATTGGCATGCTAAAATTATTTCTCCGTCATTTCCTAACCATTATTCTACATATAAGTCTGTACTCGAACCAGAGAAATACATTATGGAGTTATGTCCAAACAAAGATCTTATCCGCATATTATTTAAATTCCGATGTTTGAGCCATAAGGTGGGTATCCAACACTTTCGTTACAATGGCAAAGTCAATACGGATTTACTTAAGTGCAAAAAATGTTATCATAATATAATTGGAAAACAGAAAGCTCTACATCCCTAGCTAATGTTACCAGTATCCATCACGAGCAACATTTCATCAACTAGTAGCAACAAAAAATGTTAAGCCAATTAAAAATATTGCTATATATCTGAAAAGAAATCTGCCTGTATAATGTATAATAAATACTGTATTGAGATACCATAACATATGCAATAATTATCTCATGTATTGTACTCTTCTTCTTCTACTTGTTCTTATTATTTACATAATCTAGAAATTATCATCTAAACTAATACTTATTGCCTTAGTGACTTTTGTGAACTTTTTAGTCTATTGTGAACTTAAAGCCTGTGGCTCCCAAACGATTTCGGACATTTTAGTCCAAATATGTAGGTGGGAAGGACGAATATATCACACAGCGAATACAGAATGCAGCGTGTGTGTGAATATGAACCATCCTTTGCAGCTGACTATGAGGCATATGCACATTCATTACCTTGCATAAGACACTGTCAAGGACTCTGCGATATTTAAGAGAATGGGAGGATGTTGTAGAATGTTACTTGTCAAACAGACATAATGTGCTGTACTAGGCTTCAGCCCCTGTCATCATGTGTGATGTTTTTGTTAATCTTAGCTATGTAACCATTTCCTAACCAGTTGTAGATCACTTGCTTGAAAAAGGCTCCATCACCAGTACAGAAACGTCGCCTTGAAATAATAAAAAAGTCGAAATCCATTTGTCAATCCTGTTTTACGTTGTCATGTTAATCTCTTTTTTCCTATTTTTAATTACACTGCTTCGACGAAGACTTAGATAAAAATGCTCTTTCGTTAAACCAATATGAAAATATCAAAATGAAACATTTTAGTGGAATGAGTCATAACACATCTTCAAAGCTGTAAGGTTTCGAAAAAAAATGTCAGCCATTTGGCATCAGCCATTTATGAAATAACAATACATACCAAGGCGTTGAGATTCAAGATCTGAATCAGTATCCATGATGGTCTAATAACTGAATAGTAATTAATTTATTACTTCGCCATTCCTGATCTCACACGGCATATATTGATGACGGGTTAGCATCCCCTCATCCTCGTCTCAAGCAATAATAACAGTTATTACAAATATGTTCTTCAGTTTGCGCAAAAATTGTCATGGACCTTTTTCAAAATGTTCTCAAGAAGTGGACACACACGCGAAACTTTCTCTTGGGAACCTTCTCTAGTTTGTAAATATTTCAAACCCACAATGCCTTAAATTAAGTTGACAGAAAACATCTCTCTGATCCTAAGATATCACCACCAACAAGTTCATTGTACGTTCCCATCAACATCATGAATATATGTTTCTGAATCACTTTCACATAGCGATATTACTACGTGTTCGCGAAACAAGGTGAGCGCATCCTGCCCCAACGGTGGCATCTGTCACACGACAGAAGTAAAACACATGACAGAAGAGAAATATTTTACCAAAACCGATTGAGGAAAATTCTGATATTTCCTTTGCAAGAAATCAGATAAATGGCAAGATGAAGACCGAACCATGGCTATTTGTATGGTTGAACATGCCTACAATGCATGAGTTATCCGTACCTATGTCTTTTTGTTGACTCCAATTCTTTTTACTCGCACGGTAAATTGATTAAACGCATAAAATTACAAAATCGAACTAGACGATGGGACATGAATGAATTCTCAAGAAATTACAGATATGATACAATTTATACGTAAATGACCTTGATGTGACATTGAACTTCACATTGGTGACATGTGGTAATATATTTCGTTATGATTTCAACCTTTCAAAGATATTTGTTAACATATTACCAGATACAGGCCTCGCTTTAGAGACGTTTTGTTTACTTAAGTAAAACCACCGACTTACTCCTCTGTAATGTTCGGTCCAAGCTTATCTCTTCATTACTTTACTTCAATCTTGTTTCCAAGGAAAGGCATAAACAGCTCCAGAGAAAGGTTCTAACTGCCAATAACAACGTGTCCTTCTCATGGCTGATGTGTGGCGCGGATAACAAAATGATAATAACTTTACAAAATCGAAAAGAAGCCGATCGTTAGTTTCAGCTGTTACGTTGTTAAACCCTCCAACACAGGCAGATGGTTTTCAGTTGGATGCGGAAGAACGCTGTCACCTCGGGTAGAAGATCATCGCCTTCACAGGCCGCAGTTGGTCCGTCCATGATTGTGCATTTGGGGCTTCTCAGCGAGAAGTGCAAGCGATGAAAATGTCTCCTTGACCAACAGTGAACCACTAAAACATCACTATACACGAGAGAGTGTATGTCGTCAAGTCCGTTACACAGTATTCATATTGGAATCGTCAATAAATCAAATAATAAAACCCAAATACCTCGCGATATGTCCGCAAACGTCGCAAATTCATGGGATATGGTTAACTAGAAAGGTAAGTCAAACTATCTATTTATGTCCGTTCATTGATCCCATATACATGAATTGGAGAGCCATCTTCTAAATGTTTTAAATTATAAATAAACAGTTGGCTTTATGAGGATTAATTATGACAGATATGTCGGTAATGTCAACTGTGCATTTGTTCATAACGTCAATGCACTTAGACTAATGATGAGCACATTCCCTACTTACAAAAGTTGTTTCTTTTTTTTATTGTTTAATCAGGTGCCGAAGGCCCGTGGTGCTTGGAGACGTTATCAATAATTCACCAATGTTCAATGACAGTTCTGAATTGAACTGAATTGGCAATACAAAATGATCAAATTCAAGGATAATGGAAGCCTATCCTCAGAGGCTTCCTTCATAAACAATTGAGTAAAAATTCAATAGCAGTGGCATATTGTGTACACAGCGACTCACCATACAGGAGCAAGTGTGTTGTGCAACGATAAAGCCATATGCAGATGACGATACAACACGGACAGTCTATGAAATCATATTGAAATAATAACATTTAGGGAAATATGACACTGTGTAACCCTCCAAACAAGGGACAGGTGTCATGTTTAACTATCCACAAATTTTGGGAAATGTGAAACTGTTGACTCACACACGCGGTACAGGTGTGTTGTGTAATATACCCACATATGCAGTAATGACATTTCTTTAATATGAAACTGTTGACTCACACACGCAGGGCAAGTGTGTTGTGTAATATACCCACATATGCAGTAATGACATTTCTTTGATATGAAACTGTTGACTCACACACACAGGGCAAGTGTGTTGTGTAATATACCCACATATGCAGTAATGACATTACTTTAATATGAAACTGTTGACTCACACACGCAGGGCAGGTGTGTTGTGTAATATACCTACATATGTCGTATTGACATTACTTTAATATGAAACTGTTGACTCACACGCGCGGGGAAGGTGTGTTGTGTAACATAACACACATATGCCGAAATGACATTTCTTTAATATGAAACTGTTGACTCACACACGCGGTACAGGTGTGTTGTGTAATATACCCACATATGCAGTAATGACATTTCTTTAATATGAAACTGTTGACTCACACACGCGGGGCAGGTGTGTTGTGTAATATACCCACATATGCAGCAATGACATTTCTTTAATATGAAACTGTTGACTCACACACGCGGTACAGATGTGTTGTGTAATATACCCACATATGCAGCAATGACATTTCTTTAATATGAAACTGTTGACTCACACACGCGGTACAGATGTGTTGTGTAATATACCTACATATGCCGAAATGACATTTCTTTAATATGAAACGTGTTGACTCACACACGCGGTACAGGTGTGTTGTGTAACATAACACACATATGCCGAAATGACATTACTTGAATATGAAACTGTTGACTCACACACGCAGGGCAAGTGTGTTGTGTAACATAACACACATATGCCGAAATAACATTTCTTTAATATGAAACTGTTGACTCATACAAGCAGTACAGGTGTGTTGTTTAACTTAACACACATGCGTTGATGACGACATATGGGAAAGATGAAACTGTTGACTCACCTAGGAGGGGCACGGAGGCGGCGGCAGGGGGCAAGCTGGATTCCATCAGAAGGAGCAGCAGGAAAAATGCCACAAAGATATTGATTCCTGTCGAGAAAAATGGATTTGTATCAGAATAATTTTGACCTAGTCGATGAAGCAATGTCCGGCTAATTGTACACTGACACCCCGAGACGACGCATGGCCCTGTGCTGTTCTGCAGTAATAGCATTATGCAAGTCAGAATAAAGACCCCTTGCACCAGTCAATTACTTCCACTCGTAGATTAATGTTCTGCAGGACACACAGTCACAAGACAATGGTAGAGATAAAGAGGGTTCCCACAAGCGGCCGCGTTACAAGATGTTGGTAGACATTCAAAAACTCACTTTACAAACCGATAGTGTACATTACAGTCAACATGGATTACTGTTTCCTTAGGAGATACAGAGCAGTAGTGCAGATACAGAAAGCATTCACGAAACTGCTTTAAGTGACGACAGTTCTATGATCCGAACAGAGCTGCAGCAGTTATTTTGCCATAGAGAACATTGTCACACAATCACTTTACAAGTGGGGAATGAAATATGAATATGAGTGAAGAGGAAGGAGGCTAGTAGACAATATTCATGTCAGAATATGAGACGTATCGAAGTTCCTTTTGGTTATATACTCTGCAAAAAAAGAAACACAAAGGCCATTTTAGCTGAATATTGTATATCGCATATAAATAATCAACAGATGGTAATCGATTGTTCACATTTGGCACACATATTTGTCATTGGCACAGGTTCCATATGGCATATATGGAACAGTAGATTTTCAAGGTAGAGATCATCTTTTTTAATGTCTTGTATGGCCACCATTATTGTCCAAAATTAACTGGCATCGTCGTCCCATGGAAGCAATCAGATCCCGAATTGTGGCCTGAGCAATGTTCACCCACCTTCAGTGCTTGTGCCAACTGTCGGAGGTTCTGTGGTTGCTGCTGACGTGCTCGCAGTCGTGAGATCCAGAGCATCTCATAAATGTTCGATTAGGTTTAAATCTGGACAATGACGTTCGCTTGTTGCATAATGGGAAGGACGTGTGGCCGGAGAATCACATCCGTGTAACGTTGTGCCGTTAAACTCCCAAGAACTTGCACCAAGTTTGTTCTATCAGTGTAGGAGATGACGGCCCAAATCATCACACTACCACCACCAAATCTGTCCACTTCCTGCAGTTTCGTGCATAATATTCCACGCGACGCCTGTAAACACGAAGTCTACCATCCGCACGGCTAAGCATAGAACGTGACTCGTCACTCAACCAAACTTGTCTTTATCGCAAATGTGATCATACTCTGTGCCCTCTGTGACGTCGCAGCCGACGCTATAATGGTTGGTTGGTTGGATTGTTGTTTTACGCGGCACTCAGCAATATTCCAGCTATATGACGACGGTCGGTAAATCGAGTCTGGACCTGACAATCCAGTAATTGATATCATGAGCATCGATCCACGCAATTGGGATTGATAACATGCTTCAACCAAGTCAGCGTGCCTGACCAGCCGATCCCGTTAGTAGCCTCTTACGACAAGCATAGTCGCCTTTTACGGCAAGCATGGGTTGCTAAAGAGTTATTCAACCCCGGATCTTCACGGGTCTAAAATGTTATAAAGGGTTATAAAGGGGAATATAGTGATAGTGCTAGTACATGGGAGACAGAGAGGGTTATAATGAGGAACATTTTGATGGGAGGATATGGGAAATTTACAGGGTTAGAGAGGAATATATTGATTGTACTGTTCGTTTATTGTTTAACGCCGCACTCATTCCAGCTATATGACGGCGGTCTGTAAATAATCGAGTAAGTGACATCATGAGCATCGATCCACACAATTGCAATACGTGGACATGCCTCAACCAAGTCAGCGAGCCTGACCACCCGATGCCGTTAGTCGCCTCTCTACAAGCATAGTCTATTCAATCTGAGACTGAGAGGGTTACAGTGGGGAATATATTGATACTACTAATAAATGGGGAGGCATAGGGTTATAGAGGGGAACATATTGATAATACTACTACATTAGATACAGAGAGGGTTATAGGGGGGGTATATTGATAGTACTAGTACATGAGAGGCAGAGAGGGTCATAGAGGGGAATATATTGATAGTACTACTACATGAGAGACAGAGAGGGTTAAAGAGGGGAATATATTGATAGTACTGGTACATGAGAGACAGAGAGGGTCATAGAGAGGAATATATTGATAGTACTACTACATGAGAGACAGAGAGGGTTACAGAGGGGAATATATTGATAGTACTAGTACATGAGAGACAGAGAGGGTCATAGAGGGGGATATATTGATAGTACTAGTACATGAGAGACAGAGAGGGTCATAGAGGGGAATATATTGATAGTACTACTACATGAGAGACAGAGAGGGTTACAGAGGGGAATATATTGATAGTACTAGTACATGAGAGACAGGGAGGGTCATAGAGGGGAATATATTGATAGTACTAGTACATGAGAGACAGAGAGGGTTACAGAGGGGAATATATTGATAGTACTAGTACATGAGAGACAGGGAGGGTCATAGAGGGGAATATATTGATAGTACTAGTACATGAGTGACAGAAAGGGTTACAGAGGGGAATATATTGATAGTACAAGTAAATGGAAAACAGGGAGGGTTATAGAGGGGAATATATTATAGTTCTAGTATATGGTAGACAGAGAGGGTTACAGAGGGGAATATATTGATAGTACCAGTACATGAGAGACAGAGAGGGTTATAATAGGGATATATATATAGTACTAGTACACGAGAGACAGGGAGGGTTATAAAAGGGATATATATATAGTACTAGTACACGAGAGACAGGGAGGGTTATAAAAGGGATATATATATAGTACTAGTACACGAGAGACAGGGAGGGTTATAATAGGGATATATATATAGTACTAGTACACGAGAGACAGGGAGGGTTATAATAGGGATATATATATAGTACTAGTACACGAGAGACAGAGAGGGTTATAATAGGGATATATATATATAGTACTAGTACACGAGAGACAGGGAGGTTTATAATAGGGATATATATATAGTACTAGTACACGAGAGATAGGGGGGGGGGGGTTATAGAGGGGAATATATTTATAGTACTAGTAAATGGGCAGACAGAGGGTTATAGAAGGGATCATATTGATAGATCTAGTACATGAGAGGCAAAAAGGGTTATAGAGGCGAATATATTTATTAAAACGATAGTTGGGGAATCAGGGGTTGGGGGTACCACTGTACATGACCAACCCACACAACAATACAAGACCTAAATGAATAAACAGTCAGTTTATTAGACAGCCACAGACGGATCTGTGACTGTCTGTCGTCCGTATTTATACCTATTCTAGCAACTACAGATAATAGCACTGGCTGATTAAAACTGACGATAAGGTTGTTATTGCGAAATTTAGTGGCGCTATCTAGACAGAATTATAATAATTTAGTTTGGCCGAGGCATTGATGATAAAGGAGTTTATGAGTGAAGTTTGGTAAGAATAATAGTTTACCAGTTGCTATTATGCAACGAATGTATACGTGGTACGGGTGATTTGATAAGGGTGGATGATAAAGATACTGACGTCTGATATTTGTTCGCCTAACTCTATCTGACCAGCACCATGAGAGATGTCCGAACTGCGTTATCGGGTCAACCCTTGGCAGTCTAAAGATAATGGAACGTGGTCGTTAGTTGTAATATTCTCTTTTTTCACAATTTCCAATTCTTAATATGTAGCATTTAACGTGATAAAATATTTGTCAAACTGTGTTCATTTTACCCATGTTAATATATTGATAGTACTAGTACATGGGAGACAGGGAGGGTTATACAGGGGAATATATTGATAGTACAAGTAAATGGAAAACAGAGAGGGTTATAGAGGGGAATATATTATAGTACTAGTATATGGTAGACAGAGAGGGTTATAGAGGGGAATATATTGATAGTACTAGTATATTGGAGCCGGAGAGGGTTATAAAGGGGAATATATTATAGTACTAGTATATGGGAGACAGAGAGGGTTATACAGGGGAATATATTGATAGTATAAGTAAATGGAAAACAGAGAGGGTTATAGAGGGGAATATATTGATAGTACAAGTAAATGGAAAACAGAGGGTGTTATAGAGGGGAATATATTATAGTACAAGTAAATGGAAAACAGAGAGTCTTATAGAGGGGAATATCTTATAGTACAAGTAAACGGAAAACGGAGAGGGTTATAAAGGGGAATATATTGATAGTACAAGGATATTGGAGACAGAGAGTGCTATAGAGGGGAATATATATTATAGTACTAGTATATGGGAGACAAAGAAGGTTATAGAGGGGAAAATATTGATAGTGCAAGTTAATTGAGAACAGGGAGGGTTATAGAGGGGAATATATTGATAGTACAAGTAAATGGAAAACAGAGCGTGTTATAGAGGGGAATATATTGATAGTACTAGAATATGGGAGACAGAGAGTGTTATAGAGGGGAATATATAATATAGTACTAGTATATGGGAGAAAAAGAAGGTTATAGAGGGGACAATATTGATAGAGTAAGTAAATAGAAAACAGAGAGGGTTATAGAGGGGAATATATTTATAGTACTAGTATATGGGAGACAGAGAGGTTTATAGAGGGGAATATATTGATAGTACTAGTATATTGGAGACAGAGAGGGTTAAAGAGGGGAATATATTGATAGTACTAGTACATAATTGATTGAGTACGGTTTTACGCCGCTTTTAGCAATATTCCAGCAATACACTAAAAAATAGGTATAGTTTCCTGATTCGGCTGCGGGCCTGACTTTCAGATGGGGTTGTGGAAAAGATTTACTTTCTGATGTGGCTGAAGAAATTAGTTTCCTGATTCGACTGTGAGGCTTGACTTTGAGATGTGGTTGTGGGAAAGATTGTATTTCTGATGTGGCTGAAGAAAATAGTTTCCTGATCCGACTGTGAGGCTTGACTCTCGGATGTGGATATAGAAAATAGTTTCCGATGTCCCGATGCGACTAGGCGGATTGTGGTGGTGGGTTTGAGAGAACCCCGCTG